TTTTCCCTCCTCAGGGACCACATGAGTACATACTCCATTGTTAGCAGGGCCGGCTCCAGGGTTTTGGCTGCCCCAATCAGCCAAAACCAAAAAAAAAAAAAGCCACGAGCGCGATCTGCGGCGGCAATTCGGCGGGAAGTCCTTCACTCCGAGCCGGAGTGAGGGACCACCCGCCGAATTGCCGCCAAATACCTGCACCTGCCGCCCCTCTCCAGAGCAGCCGCCCCAAACACCTGCTTGAGAAGCTGGTGCCTGGAGCCGGCCCTGATTGTTAGGCAGGCCTTCATAGACCACAGAGGTTGATTTATGAATGTCCATGTAGGCTGCACTGGGAAAGTTCATGATGCCAGGGTTTTTCGCTGACCAGGAGTCTGCATTCATGGGACACTATTCCCACCAAATGACACTGTGATAAATGGTGTTACTGTCTCCACTGTTATTCTGTGGCAGTGGCCATATCAGTGCCTTATATAGATACATACATTTGTGTCTGAACAATCGCTGTTTGGAAAACTACTGTGGTCGCAAAGTAACTGCACAGTTGCTCTCTTGGATGTACAGACCAAGTTTTAATCTCTGTCCAGCATAGTCATCTTTGTCCACCTCCTGATGTGGTCTACATTGGCCTGTCTGCATCATCTCTACGGTGTGAATCATTTATGTGCAATTCATGCGGTGGTCATGCTTTGCAAAAAGAAAAAACAATATTTTCCAGCTTTTGGGGGAAAGTTTTCACATACAAGTTTAAAATTATTTTCAAAAGGGAAACTTGAGCTGGTGAACAACAACAAAAGTCCGCTTCTATGGTGTCAGATGCCTTATTGGAATGGGAGATAAGCACAATATTTAGGGAATGTTTAATTAGCCTTTTTTTTTAATTCCTTTGTAGGGTTTCATTACACAGTCAACAAAATCTCATGACCGTCTCCAACCTTGGTGTTATCTTTGGGCCGACTCTGATGAGAGCCCAGGAGGAAACAGTGGCTGCTATGATGAACATTAAGTTTCAGAATATCGTAGTGGAAATTCTGATAGAGCATTATGAAAAGGTAAAAGAATTTCATCTGGAACCTTTTACTTTAATATAATTTGTGATGCAACTGGAATTAAATATGCTACCGGATCTCCCATTCACTACCTTCAGCAAATTCCTACAAATAAGAAAAGAGTCAGCTGCATTTATAACAAGGAGTCTGGTGGCACCTTAAAGACTACCAGATTTATTTGGGCATCTGAAGAAGTGAGGTTTTTACCCACGAAAGCTTATGCCCAAATAAATCTGTTAGTCTTTAAGGTGCCACCAGACTCCTTGTTGTTTTTGTAGATACAGACTAACACGGCTACCCCTTGATACCTGCATTTATAGAAGATCACTTTCAGATAGAATGTTTCCTTCTTAATCAAAGCTATGGGCCAACTGTTATGGGGATACGAAAGGTCTAAGCACAAGGAGCAGCCACCCAGCCTTGTGCAGGAGCTGGCCAGAATCTCACTGGAAAGTGTAGTCCCTCCTATTGGCTAGAAGCAGGCTGAGCAAACACATGGCTATTACCCTGCCCCCAACTTTTCCCTTACACCATCCAATGTTAGCACTAGACCAAAGAACATTTTCAGGTGAAAAATCATGATTTTTGAAAATCCAACTCTCTTGCCTTGTTACTAATAGTACATTGGGTTACTGGAATGGGAGCAATGTTAAACATCTATTGTATTTTCTATCATTTGTGCTCTGTTTACTTTATTTCTCTTAATAGGAACATTGAAAGTAAACTAGTTCAGTTCATTTTTTTATAGTCTTGTATCTGTCAGTTTCACGTGCATATTGTGAGGCACTAATCCAGTGCTGTAGTTCTTACGTTGAAAAATTAAATCAAAACAACAATCTATCTTCAGTAACTTTCATACAAAAATTCCTATTCACCTTTTTTTATATATACAACAAACCTATCAGGTCCAAGTGTAACTGGGTAAAATAAGCAGATTGTTAATCATAGCTTTAAAGAAAATGTAAGTTATCGATTGTGATTTTTTGTACTTATAGATATTTCACACTGCACCAGACCCCAACATTCCTCTTCCCCAGCCTCAGTCCCGTTCAGCTTCCAGAAGATCAAGAGCAATATGCCTCTCAACAGGCTCACGCAAACCCAAAGGAAGATATACCCCATGTCTGGCAGACCATGATAGTAAGTTTATTCATACTGTTAGCTATTTACCTCTCTGTTCATGTCTTGTTCTTTAGTTCTCCTGGTTTTTAATTAGTAAGCAACGGTAATTGCTATGCTCCAAGCACAGTGGGTTCTTATTTGCAGTGGTCCTATGAAAAGTAACAATAAAGCGAGCAGACGTCAGTGTTGTTGAATGAGTGCTTTCCTTGCTCCTTTCACAGCATGTTCTGTCAAGCAGTTTTTATGTGGCATAAAGTGTTTGAAAATACATTGTGGTACGCTTGTTATTCCAAACTAACCACCAAGTGATTTGAAATGACCTTCTCCAGACTGCTAAAAAGAATACAAGTTTCGCTTTGTTTGCTTTTAATAAGATCTTGAAGATTGGAAATGGTATAATAGAGCATTTCACCTCATCAATAATAAGGTCAATCCGGTTGAGGTTAGTCTTGGCCAAAAGTTGTTACCATTAGACAGCTCTTCCGTGTGTGTGAAATGAATTATGTGGTCTCTGTCTAAGTCCCAGTAGACAGCTATCTATACCACCAAAACCACGACACAGCTGTTGTTAATTGACACCCATGTTGGCAATTTTAACAAAAAGGTCAAGCACTGAATGGCATGGAGACTGAACTTTAAACCTAGTCTTCTATACGGATTTATAATTAAAAATAGAGAGGTTGGGGGTTTTTTTGTCAGTAAATTGCCACCTAAAGTGATTCTTCATTTTCATATATACTTAAATAAAAGATCCCTCTTTATTCATTATCACCCACTTTTTCTTTTCTTAAATTACCATTAGGAGGGGTTGAATTTCAGACAAATTGTAGCCAAGATTGAATTTAATCTGCTAAATGTTAGCATCTCCACTGGTATGAAATTGATTGCAAAAGAAGTTTTAGTTCTCATAGCTTCTCAAGGAGCCTTTATGTTACTGCCATAAAAAAGTAAATTCATAGATAAAGTTGTACATTAATGGTGGGGGTTTTTTGAGCCTAGTTGTTGTACAAGTCTCCAAAGAAGGGGAGTTCGTGGGTACCTAGCATCAACTTTTCAAAATTAGATACATGCAGATGCTTGTGTGTTCCTAACGTGTGCAGACACCAAACCTGTGCACTCTAACTGGGTGTCTGCATGCACAGATGGCAAGCGAAGTGCCAGTTAAGAATCACCACTAAGACGTGGAACTTCTTAGCTGTTACTCCAGCCTACTGGCCAAAGTAACTTCAGTGGCCTTTGTTTAATAAAGAATTAGGTGGTTCCTACAGTGCACTGATGTGTAGCAAGCCCATATGGAACTGATCTCCATGTGCAGAGGATACACCAGCCCATGGACTGCTGCCACCCCACTCCTTGTGTAGAGAAGTTCCACTATTTCCAAAGGTCCCTTCTCATTCTTAAAACAGTTCAACCATATCTAAAATTAACACATTGTGCCCAATAAAGATGACTTTAACTTGTTTTAATGAGGCCTAATTCCTGGGTCATCTTCAGGTTAAATAGGAAAGCATGCTGAGAGCTGAGTCCACAGAGGCAAAGATGAACCTCCTGCTTCTGTTAATCCCAGAATCCAAGAGCCATATCCCCTGAGTCTTCAGCAGTGGGGTTGGAGAATAGGGAGCCAGAAGTAGAAAGTTTCCAGGGCTGCAATCTGTAAAGAGACTGGAAAGTTCAAACTAAAATAAAATAGTAGAAGTAGTTGCTGCAAAACAATAGAACCGGAGACTTTGGCATCAATCCGAGTCACATGAATTGTCGTGGTAGCCTATGGCTGGAGCAAGCCATCAGAGGAATATGTGACTGCATCCTTCACATAGAAGGGGGGCATAAAACAGCTGCCCCATTGAAATGCAAATTAATCAAATATCCATTCTCTTTGGAGAATTATCATCTGCAAAAGCCATATACTAATGAGTTTGATGATTATTGAAGACTCCAGGGGCCACATATGCATTAGGAAAATGGATACTTTGAGAAAGTGTAATTTACACACAAAATGTCATTTTTCTTCTTTTCCCCACTCCTCTTCAGGTGATTCATACAGTAGTAGCCCAGACAGCACCCCCATGGGCAGCATAGAATCGCTCTCTTCTCATTCATCAGAACAAAACAGCACCACAAAATCCGCCTCATCCCAACCCAGGGAGAAATCAGGAGGAATTCCATGGATTGCATCTCCACCTTCTTCCAATGGACAAAAGAGCTCAGGCCTCTGGACCACAAGTCCAGAATCCTCCTCTAAGGAGGATGCGACAAAAACAGATGTGGAGTCAGACTGTCAAAGTGTATCTTCTGTCACTAACCCAGAGAATACATCTCCACCGATAGATCTGACCAAAAAAGGGCTTTATGGTCTGTCTGGGCTGAAAAGGTCTGCAGCTTCCTCCCTCAGATCAATCCCTTCAGCAGAAGGTAGGTCCTTGCATTAAGTTGTTCTATCAGGACACCACTGAGTTAAACATGATGCACCAGAAAAAATTAAGTTAATCAAAAGGCTATTGAAATTCATTGATTTTGTTAATTTACTTTGGAATCTTTCCACCATGTTCTTTTGTTGTCCAGACATTTTTTGAGCAATATTTCTAAGGTGCCCTTCATTTGTGCTTTTTGCATAGTTTAGAAGGCATCAACCCTTCTCACAATGTGGAACAGTGGTCTCACCTCACCCAGCACTGCTTAATTACATGTAGGGCTGGAGTAGCTAGCCAGGATTCAGCATTCTCAGAGATGAATCTTGCATCATGATTAAAGGTGACAAGACTTGGGTTTTGAATTCAAGTACATAGGGTTCTGGGCTGAGAACACCCAGTCCCCAGCACCCTCACTTTCACCACTTCAGACTATGTGCTCGCTTTGTTTTCAGCTGCATCTCATAAGAGGTCAAGACTGTTTCTACAATAACTGGATCCGAGATCATGTAGGATTTTTGTAGAACTCTACCAATACCTTGAATTGCAAGCTGAATTGGCAAGTGGTGCAGAAGGCTAAGCGCTGTTGTAATGTGCTCTAGTCAGTGTGTCCTACTTAGAAGATGGCATTTCTTTAAGTGGCCCCAAAAGGGGCTCAGCAAGCATGTGGACAAGGGGGATCCAGTGGATATAGTGTATTTAGATTTTCAGAAAGCCTTTGACAAGGTCCCTCACCAAAGGCAATTAAGCAAAGTAAACTGTCATGGAATAAGAGAGAAGGTTCTCTCATGGATCGGTAACTGGTTAAAAGATAGGAAACGAAGTGTAGGAATAAATGGTCAGTTTTCAGAATGGAGAGAGGTAAATAGTGATGTCCCCCAAGGGTCTGTACTGGGCCTGGTCCTATTCAACATATTCAAAAATGGTCTGGAAATAGGGGTAAACAGTGAGGTGGAAAAATTTGCAGATGATACAAAACTATTCAAGATAGTTCAGTCCTTGACAGACTGCGAAGAGCTACAAAAAGATCTCTCAAAACTGGGTGACTGGGCAACAAAATGGCAAATGAAATTCAGTATTGATAAATGCAAAGTAATGCACATTGGAAAACATAATCCCAACTATACGTATAAATTATGGAGTATAAATTAATTGTTACCACTCAAGAAAGAGATCTTGGAGTCATTTTGGATAGTTCTTTGAAAATATCCACTCAATGTGCAGTGGCCATCAAAAATACTAACAGAATGTTGGGAATCATTAAGAAAGGGATTGATAATAAGACAGAAAATATCATATTGCCTCTATCTAAATCTATGGTATGCCCACATCTTGAATATTGCGTGCAGATGTGGTCACCCCATCTCAAAAAAGATATATTGGAATTGGAAAAGGTTCAGAAAAGGGCAACAAAAATGATTAGGGGTATGGAGTGGCTGCCATATGAGGAGAGATTAATAAGACTGGGACTTTTCAGCTTGGAAAAAAGATGACTAAGGGGGGTTATGATAAAGGTCTATAAAACCATGACTGGTGTGGAGAAAGTAAATAAGGAAGTGCTGTTTCTTCCTTCTCATAACACAAGAACTATGGGGCACATGAAATTAATTGGCTGCAGGTTTAAAACAAACAAAAGGAAGTATTTCTTCACACAAGGCAAGTCAACCCATGGAACTCCTTGCCGGAGGATGTTGTGAAGACGCAGACTATAACAGGGTGCAAAAAAGAACTAGATAAATTCATAGAGGGTTGGTCCATCAATGGCTATTAGCCAGGATGGACAGGGATGGTGTCCCTAGCCTCTGTTTGCCAGAAGCTGGGAATGGGCAACGGGATGGATCACTTGATGATTATCTGTTCTGTTCATTCCCTCTGGGGTACCTGGTATTGGCCACTGTTGGAAGACAGGATATTGAGCTAGATGGACCTTTGGTCTGACCCAGTATGGCTGTTCTTATGTTCAAGTATAGCATATAATCTAGCCAGTAGGTTACAAAGGTGTGACTGAACATGTCTGGGTGCACACATGGGATGAAAGAAGATATTTTTGGCCACTTCTCCTGTTTTGGAATCCAGAAACTGAGTCCAGTCCATCACAAGATGATTTCACAATACCTTGATAATTGACTGGGCATTGCCCTTAAAAATAGATACCAAAATAAGTCAATTTATTTATAATGTTGTGGATTACTAAGGTTAACACAATCATCGAGACAGGAAATTCTGATGGATTGAACATGAGATTTGGAACCAGGAACCCCTGAGTTCTACCTCCTAGCTCTTCCACTGATCTGCTGTGTAGATTTGTACAGTGCTTAGCACAATGGGGTTATGTAGGGCTCCTAGGTGCTACAAATAAATAGATCATTTTGAGTAATTGTTTCCTCATCTAGAAATTGGGAACTTTATTAAGTAAAATCTACCTGCCTTGCAAGAAATGTATGAAATGTATTAGTCTTTATACAGTGCTTTGAAAATGTGAAGCACTGTATTATTATTATTATCATTATTATTTTCCTATTAGAAACCTGTGAAAGTCATATATAAGAACAAAGCAGGTACAAGGACAAGGACATCTTTTTCGAAGGCTTCCTGGCTGTTATTACTGAATATTAATATAATATTACATTAGGGCCTTCTGTTTCTGACAGATAAAATCCAAGCTATGCAAAGTTGGTTTTATTTTATTAAGATATGGTAACAAAATAGTCATTTAAACAAGTTTTAATTTTCATCTACAAAAACCTCAGAAACCTGTTTTTTTTTTGTTTGTTCTGTTTTTATTGGGGGGGAAGCTATTAGTATTAAACAGACAGGAGGCTGGCTTGTGTAATTTTACTAATGGAGTTTTAGCATCATCAGTGTTCAGAAAATGTATTATATATTCATCGGTGCAGCATAAGAATCTTCCGCCTTCTTCAAAGTTTTAATATTATTCTCTCCATTTTTGGTGGTGATGCTTTTCTAGTTACCTTTCTGCTTGATAGGCTGTCTGTTCTCTTTCTTGGTAAGCATTGTCTCTACCTATTTTATTTCTTTTTAAAAATCCTGCTTTCTTACGTATGATATACATGTTATTAAGGCACACTGAAATCTTATTATATTCCCCGCATTCTGGTTGTTCCCTGTAGGTGACAAAAGTTGCAGTGGATCTGTACAGAGCTTAGCCTCAATTGATGCCAAAGATACACCAAAGGCTCCACTAAATCCTGAGTTGCCACCCAAAATGCGCAGGAGATTGAGATTGGATACTGCATCAAGTAATGGCTATCAGAGACCAGGATCCGTGTAAGTCATCAAGACTTCGTGGAGATTTGATGTATTGCATTATGTTCCCATACAAACTATCCTATACAGCTGGGTGAATGATGGGGAAAGTATTCATGAATATTTGATCAGATAAATCAAATGAAATTGTCATCTTTGAGAATTATTCATCAACATTCATAAACTTTGAAAACTAGGCAGATGGGGGCTTACCCAAAGTGTATTGAAATCAGTGGCAGAGCTCTCTGAATAATGGATTTTTTGGTTTATTGGCAGTTCCGAAAAATAAAAAAAAATGCTTTGAGTTGAACTGAAATCAAAATGTATTTGAATTTTTGGCTAATTGGTTTGGGTTGAACCAAGACATTTCATTTCATGTGTCATTAATAAAAGCAAAAGAAATGAAGGGCTAGATTCACAGAAACAGAAGACAAGGGAGTGACACTTATAACCTTTAGCCCAGAGGTTAGGGCACTCACATGGGATGTGAGAGACCCAGCTTTGAATCCCTGTTTTGGAGCAGTGACTTGAATGCAATTTTCTCCCCTTCTAGGTGAGTGCCCTAACCACCAGACTATAGGCTATTCTAGTTCTGGGGTCTCTCAGTCTCTCCTGTTGAAGCTGTTCCACTTTGTATAAATAATTAAGAAGTCATCAGAGCAGGGACTGGAACCTGGGTGTGTCCCCTCATATGGGAATACCCTAGCCACTGGGATGTAGAGTCATTCTCACTCTCCCGGTGACTATTCAAGTATTTTGTACAAAGTAGAACATCTTCAACGGGAAAGATTGAGAGATACCCCCCTCCCCCAAAATACCCTATATCTTGGTGGTGAAGGGCAGTCACTCTAGAGGGAGAGACCTGGGTTCAAACCCCTGCTCCAGAGCAGGGATTCAAAACTGGGTTTCCAGCATCCCAAGGGAGTGCCCTAACTATAGGTTAAAGGTGATAAGCGAAGGGCAGCACAACTGCCATGGCCTCCTGCTCCAGTGGCTTTGTGAATGATGCCCAAATCCTCTTGTGACTCTAGCCTGAAAAGTCGAAATGTTTCATTGTGACATTGTTGAAATGGTCTGTTCGGACATTTCCAAAAGTTTTTCTTTTTTTGTTTTGTTTTGGCCAAAACAAATCAACAAGGATTCATTCGTGAAATGTTTTGGTCAATCTGAATCTTCATTTATTGGTGAAAAAGTTTCATCTGAAAAATTTCACACAGCTCTAATCAGCGAAAGACCCCCATTGATTTAATCATTGGGTTTTGGATTAAGCCAATAATGAGGAGAGAAAATTAATCCATCAAATAAATTATTGGACTAATACTATTCAGCCAGCTCTAACATTATCTCTCTGCTTCTTCTGTGTTTATTATTTAAGAGATCTAAATGCCACAGACTGTCGAGGCGATATGTCAAGGAATAAAGTGTTATTCATCATCACCTCTTTCTTTTGGCAGTCAGAAATCAGAGCAAGACAAATTTAATTCCTCTCTGAAATTGATGTGTTCCATTGCATGCATGGGTTAAATAATTTGTTTGTTTTTGATAAAGTAGCTAGAGATTTCTTGAGACGGAATGCATTGCAAAATATAAATGATTATTTTCACATAAACTGTGGGTTAAAAATGTTTTCTAGTGCTTATAGCACAGGACTGGCGGTCAGTGAACCCAGAAATGATAACACCCATTTTCCCTCTCCAGAAACTACATCTCACTCACTTCAGGTTTATTTAGTGACAAGACATGAATATGAATTAAAAATTATGGGAATGTTTTGTGTTGCATTTTCAGCAGAGTTCCTTCCTGTTTTACCAATTCAGCAAGGTACGTTAGCTCATGCCTAGCTTGAAACTGGTTGGACTGTTCATGTCCTTCAAGTTGGGCACATGCTTAAGATTCTTGCTGAACTGGGACCTAAGCTCAGCATGACTTGCTTCTTGGTTTCCTCCATTGTTTCTACATTTTTCAGATTGAAAAAGGGAGCACAGTCACTTTAAGAATCAAATACAGAATTTAAAATAAAAATTAACATTTTCTTGTCCGTGCAACTAAAATTACCTTAGATCGGGGTTCTCAAACTTCATTGCACCGTGACCCGCTTCTGACAACAAAAATTACTTCGTGACCTCAAGAGTGGGGACGAAAGTCTGAGCCTGCCCGAGCCCTGCCACGGGAGGGAAGTAAAGCCAAAGCCCAAGCCCCGGGTTGGGAGCCTGCAACCTGAGCCCTGCCACCCCAGGCTGTAGCCTTCGGGCTTTGGCCCCAAGCAGTGGGGCTCAGACTTCACCCCCAGGAGGTGGGGCCAGACTTCACCCCCAGGAGGTGGGGCTTGGGCTTCAGCTTTGGCCCCAGGCCCCAGTAAGTCTAACGCCAGCCTTGGCGATCCCATTAAAATGGGATCACAGCTCACTTTGGGGTCCCAACCCACAGTTTGAGAACCGCTACTTTAGATTATTAAAACTGAAATAACTCTATGCAATTAATTGAAAGGGACAAGTTTAAAACCAGATGCCTCTTAACTCAATTTTCAGAGTGGCCGCAAGAGCCCAGTTGTTCGAAAGTGCTGGTTCACTTAAACAAGCTTCTTCAGGACGGTAAGTGCCCTACACAATTGAATTGTAGTTAAAAATCAAAGCCATATGCTCTCAGAGACGGATGTGGAGGAGTGGAAAACAATACTTTGTACATTCCAAGGAAGCATCCTTTGCCATGCAAACATGCCCCCATGTGTCAGGCTCATCCTTTCTATATCTCTCATAGAAAGAGAGAAAGTTAGACCATTGATTTTCTCCGTCCACTGGGACAGTACCTGTACAGAAGCCGAAGACAGTAGGCTGCCTCTTAGTGAAACTGTCCTTTCCAAACTCTAGCTTTGGATAAAAAGAATCAGGCTTGTTACTATTCTTCCCACCATAGCTTCCTTGCTTCGGTTTCCATTTGGGGAAATCTGTGATCATCCCACGGGCCCTTTAGTTGTTTACACAGCCATTGGATTTGTTTTCGTCTTGTCACTTTAATTATAGTAGAGCAGACATCCATTCCTTGGATAGCGTTCCTCTAGGAAGTGGAACCATCTCTATGTTGTCCAACCTCTTCTTCCTTCCATTCTGCTTTCTTTTTCTTTCTATCGCATTTCACTGTGGGCTTCCATACATTTCCCAACCAAAGGGCTAGATTAAAGGCAAATAAGCAGTTCTAGATCCAGCACCAAGAGAGTGCTCAAGCACCATCAGAAGATGGCTCAGGGCTAAGGCTAAGATTTTGTCATGGTTATTTTTAGTGGACAGATTGCAGGCAATAAACAAAAATTCACAGAAGCCAGAGACCCGTCCTTGGCTTTTACTAGAAACACCTGAGGTGTGGGGGGGGGGAGAAGAGAAAGCGCCATGGGGACTAGCACCTGCTCCTGCGGCAGGGGCTGACTGCTGCTGCTCCAACCCCAGGAGGGCTGACCCAACCCCAGCCGCTGCTCTGCCAGGCCGGGGACTGCTGCTCTGGCAGTTCCAGGGCTAGCCGCCAGTCAGCTGTTCTGGAGGCCCCAGAACTGGCCACAGGTCAGCTGTTCTGGCGGCTGTTGCTCCAGCAGCCCCAGGGCTGACAGCTGCTCCAGCCCTGCCCCAGAAGAGGTAAGTCACAGTTGTCCCAGAAAGTTCCGGAATCTGTGACCTCCGTAACAGAATTGTAGCCTTACTCATGGTCCCTTCTGCCATGATTTTATAAGAAATCAGCCAAGACTTGGTGGCAAGACTGAGCAGCACTTACTTACATAATTACAAACCTAAGACTGTTAAAGAAATCAAATGTATATTTTATATCTTACTTCCCCCCCACCCTTCCTGTCTACCTTGTCTTTATTGTAAGCACTTTGAGGTAGTGAGACTTCAAGAGCTCAATCCATTTAGCTTAAAGAGAAGGTTAAAGGGTGACTTGACGACAGTTTATAAGTTACAAAATGAGGAACATGAGAAACAAAAATTTGGTAGTGGACTCTTCAGTCTCGCAGACAGAGAGATATCACGATGCAATGGCTGGAAGTTGAAGCTAGATGAATTCAGACTGGAAATAAGGTGCAAATATTTAACAGTGACAGTAAGTAATTATTGGAACAACTTACCAAAGGTTGTCATGGATTCTCCATCACTGGCAATTTTAAAATCAGTATTGGATTACATAAGAACGGCCATACTGGGTCAGACCAGAAGTCCATCTAGCCCGGTATCCTGTCTTCCTACAGTGGCCAATGCCACGTGCCCCAGAGGGAATGAACAGAACAGGTAATTATCAAGTGATCCATGCCCTGTGATCCTCCATCCCCTGATTTTAAGAAAATATACTCTAGTTCAAACATGAATTAACTCAGGAAACTTCTACGGCCTGTATTATACAGGAGGTCAGACTGGATGATCACAGTGGTCCCTTCTGGCTTTCCAATTTATGAGACTGGGATCACAGCCACCTTTTTGTGTAGCACTTAGAACAACAAGACCCTGAGCCTAATGGGACCTCCGAGCAATAGAGTAACAGACATATAACATCCAATAACAATAATCCATGGAACCGTAGGGGCTGATGTGAAACTGGCAAGCAGGCAGGCACCAAAATGCTTAGTAACTTACAGTCTAGGTCTGACAGCTGACTGCCACCCAGCAGGTGGCAGGATCCAATTCAAGAGAAAGCTGATCAGTTTGAGTTGCCAGGACCTTATGATGTGACGGGAGGGAGGGAGGGAAAAGGCAGCAGCATGGCTGAGTCGGGTGGGGCACAGATGCTTGTTTTGTGTGGCACACAAGCCGAAGGAGCCTCGATAGAGCCCTGCTTTGCTGTTCTCTGGCACTCTACCTCTACTCTGCTCCTTCTCCTTCCCACTGTGTGTTGCTCCCCGTCCTCCCTCCTGCTCAGTTCCCATTCTGTTGTACTTGTATATAAACCACATAAGAAGCAAGAGTCTGACAAAGAAGAAAGTAGCTGTGCAGCTTCATAATGGGGGTGGAGGGCAAAGGATAGATGGCAAAGGAGGAAAGGCTTGACAGGCTTAAGAGCTCCTCTATCCAGTCTTCATAAGAACGCAGACTAGTGACAATAACAAGGAGAATGAGAGGTCAGCAGACAGAATGAGGAAGGAAGAGATAAAAGGTGGCTCAGCTGTTACTGCAGTGCTGTTTGAGTCAGACCAGCCTCTGCAACAAGGGAGCAGTCAGAACCAGCTCTTGCTTAAACCTGCATGCATGCTATGCACATGAGGGCCAAACTGAGCCCTTAAAGCATTCTTCTGTCTCTTTGCTCCACTGAAATCATGTAAATATGACCTGTCTCACCCCACAAGTAAATTTTCTTGATCTCTCCATAATAGTCTACTAGAAAGGGTATGTGCATTCATAAAAATACAAATATATGGATCATTTTAACAGAGAAGGGGGGAAACACAGACACACGTATGCAGGAATTCCAGCAGTAAAAGTATGGTAAACTCTGACTTTACAACGTTACTGCCACCTTCATCCATTCATCCATATGAAGTGTTTCTGGAGTGTATATTGCTTGGTATCTGAGCTTTGAGATCCGATGTCCTTCTGTAAGTTAGTACAGGAATCGACGCTGTTAGCTCATGCATGTAAATGTTAAAGGGGCACTATGCATTCTGTTATAAATGAAGCTGCAATAGCAGTGTGTAATTCAGTTTCTAAAATTTGTGTCTGCCAAGTAAAACTTGGCCGAATATGTTCCACCACGAGGCTTTGGCCCTGCAAACTGCTCTGCACACACAGACCTCAATTCCCAGGCCAGTCAGTGGGGTTCCCCAGAAGTCTTCTCACACAGATCAACTTCCAAGATCAGGACCTAAAACAAGGATTCTTTCCATTTCCTCACCATTGTTACAAAGTTCAAAAAAAAAAAAAAAAAAAAAACCAGAAGCAATTTTGGACGTGAAAAATAAAATGTTGTTGAATGTAGTGCTCATGTGTAGCATCACGTTTTGGTAGCCCAAGAGAATAAAGCGTGCACTCTACAGAGCAAGCTGCAGAGCGCCACAGGCTTCCCACACACCAGTCCCCCAAGGGTGTCATCCCTACACTGGGGCTGATTAAGAGTGGCTCAGTCTGTGTATCCATTGAGTCCATGAGGAAGGAGTTGGACAATTCCCGACAACTCATTTCACATAAGCCACCAAACAATCATCAGATAGTAACAGCTTTTGGTCCTGCTAAAGTAGAACCAGCACCTAGAGGAAAGCCTCTATTCCATTATTAATCTCTGGAATCACCAGTGTCCCTTGCTCCCAGATTTTCAACTACTTTTTCCCGATCCAGGATCCAGCCTCTAAATAGCTACATTGCGATTTGTAGATTCTACCGCCTGAAACAAAACGTTGTCATCTACACAATGAGTGACATTTTCAAAAGCACCTAAGTGATTTAGGAGCACAAGTCCCATCGACTTTCATTTTCCAACAGGTGTCTGCAGATTGTCTCCTTTACTATCACTCTTGTGATCTGGACAATACCCTTCCTAGAAACAGCATTTTCACCTCTTCTTCCTAGGTTGGTCAGCTATAATGTACCCCCTCCATGAACACCCCTCTGTTGCTTGCTTCCTTTATCTTAAACCTGTGCACTGTTTTCAGCTGTACATAAACATGTGTCTTCCGCAGTTAGGGTGACCAGATGTCCCAATATTATTGGGACCGTCCTGATATTAGGGGCTTTGTCCTATATATGCAATTATACTCCCCACCCTGGAAAAAAAAGTGTCCTGATTTTTCACACGTGCTATCCATTCACTTTATCCACAGTGGCATCAGTTTGATTAGATCTCTTTATTCAGAAAGCAACAAAATGAGTGTTCTAAATTAGTGCATTTTGGTAGGCAGAATATATGCCCATTCCCAGATCTTTACTCAGATTTTGATAACTCTCTCCCTCATTCTAGTCCCAGCTGCATTTTTGCCTCTCCATCCTCACTCTCGCTACTTTCCCCTTTCCCTCAAACCTAGCTTTAAGGATAAGCTATCAATCTGGTGGAGCACCCAGCTATCAGACCATGGTGTATCCCTTTGCTCCACACTGGATCTAATCCCTGTCACTGATGTATAATACCCATGACAGAAAAGCAGCGTAGTTATTATTTCTTTATGCATATATGGCTGTATTGCCCACCAGCCCCAATGGGGATTGAGGCCCTGTTGTGATAGATGTTGTACAAAAATACATAGAGAAATAGTTCCTGCCCCGAAGAGCTTACAGTCTGGGAAATAGTATCAAAGGGTTAGCCGTGTTTAGTCTGGATCTGTAAAAAGCATGGCATCTGACGAAGTGAGTATTCACCCACGAAAGCTTAAGCTCCAATACGTCTGTTAGTCTATAAGGTGCCACAGGACTCTTTGTCGCTTTTTAGTCTGGGAAATGTGAGGTTTCCTATTCTCTAGCTTTCCATTAGGGGCACACAGCACTCTTGGGGGCTCAGGTAAATGAGAAGCTACTGACCGGAGTGAACATCATGGCATAGAGGTAACCAGAATTGCACGAGAGGGAACAGCTCAAAGAATGAGAGTGAGGGTGCAGTGATCATGATTTCATCTGAGTTGGCAGCAAGGTCC